GAACTACTTTCTTCTTTTAGATAAATTATTTGCTTTTTCTAATTTAGTTTTTAGATTTTATTATTTTTAAAAAGAACATTAATATTTTTTAATTCATTTTGTTAAATTTTATTTTCATCTTTTTATTTATTTTAGTTTTATAATTTTCTTTTTTTATTAGTATTTATTGTTTTAAAAAGAAAAATGTATATATTTTTTTAATTAAATTGAATTAAAAATAATTATTGCTAAAAGGTGAACATCATAACACTAGGACATCCTCGTTAGCCAAATTTAAAAGTGTGAAACTAAAGGGCTTTAATCATGAACCTTCCACAATGTTGGACTATACCTTAAAGATTACTGATTTTTCACGGCCCACTGTACACAGCTACGAGTAGGTCCTTCAATTCTCTTAAAAATAAAGTTGGGTTCTCAGTGCTCTGGCAATACAAGAATAAATGTTGTCTTTAACGAAAAAATTGAAAAACGGACTTTCTGTATTTTCGGAAGGCGCTGTGGAACTTGCTTGCAGCGTCGCCTAGAATTTGAACCACGCAGACCATGTAGCTTTAAAATTTATTAAAATGGAGTATGTAAACTTACAATGGACGGCAATGGTAGTCTGAGTGCTGTTTTCTGTACGCGTCGATTTGTGTTAGTTCCGACCATTTAAACTCTAAACTCAATACGATTCAAAAGCCGACACCGACTGATTTGCTTTTTGAATCGCAATACAGAGTAGACTCCAGGACTATTTCGAGACTAGTACTAATATCCCAACTCCTCTCTAAACCAAATCACTACTAACCAAACAAGTTTTGAGATAACACCTCAAACATTTTTTTTTTGTTAATTTTTACTACAAACTCCAATACCGAAACGCTCTCCTAATCGTACTGCATCATTTCAGAGTGGCAAGGAATACATTGACATCGATCAAACTGTGCTGGAGCCAAGTCCGCAGCGTATTCGTAATATTTTGACGCTGGAGGAGCGTGTTGCTGCCATTGAAGCCTATGACTGCCGACCAATGTATACCAAAGTGGCGAAAATGTTCAACTGCAGCTGGGAACAGATCAAAAATATAATCGCCAATCGCGATGCAATTCTGAAATTTTATGCAGCGACAAGAAATGTGGAAATGCCTAATGATACCAACGGACAGGACTGGCGCACTCGCAAGATACGCTTTCTAGGCGAATGTCTTTACGAGTATATACAGCGAGCGCAATTCCACACTAAGGCACATATCACCGAAGAGCTTTTACGTATGAAAGCATTCGAATTTCGTAGTCTCATACAAATCGATAATTTTATGCCGACTAAGGCATGGATGAATCACTTCAAGGCCATGTACAATTTCTCACTATCCAATCGACAAATCACAATCACACGCACGCCACCTGTCTCACTCGATCTCAAGGATATAATGACATTTTGCACAAAAAACCAAGCGAAAGCTGACGCGAAGACGCCTCCGCCCGAACCGGTGGAGGACAGAGAATCCGATCTCTATCGCACTGCCACACGCATAGCTGTTTCGGGCGAAAATGAGGCAGCATTACAAGAAATCAAGCAGCGCCGGCTGCGTAAGATCAATTTTCTATCGAAGACACTCTTCGAGTATTGGCAGCGCGCTAGATATCATCACAAGATGCGCATGGATGAGAACTCGCTGCGAAAAGTGGCTTGCGATCTTAAGGAAATGCTGAAGATCGATAACTTCTATCCGGACAAGGAGTGGTTGGATCACTACATTACCATCACAGTTCCAACAATGCTAGAGGAATCACAGGATGCGCGTCCGCCGCCGCTCTCCTTGGATCTGAAAGACATACTTAGCTACTGCAGCCGGCAGGAGAACAAGAAACTGGCGCCGAGCACTATAACGCTGGCGCCAAAAGAGACAGCGAAACCACATTGGCAAGGCGATGGAGCTGCTCACAATGCCTCAGCATCTGGCACTGCTGCCAGTGCAACTGCAACTACGCCACTTGTACAAATACACACATTAAACCTGCGGCGCAGTGATGAATCCGCCGCGTCGCGTACACAAGCGCCACGAATGCCAAGCCCCAAGCAAGCAGCTGCTGCGTTGGCAGCCAAGATCAAGGAGGAAGTTATTGAATTGGATGCAGATGAGGCGGTGAAAGATGTGAAACCAAATTTAAGTGAACTATTGCCACCACCACCACCACCACCACCATCGGCATCGCCTACGGCGCCACCAGTTACGAAGGCACAACTCCATCACCAGCTCCCAGCAAAGCTAACGACAGTGACAGTGACAGCGACAGCGACGCAAATTGCGCGCCAACAAAAACGTGAACACCCCAACCACAACGGTAGCGGTGCGCAAGTGCCTGCATTGAGGGTGGTGAGTTTGAGTACGCTGGTACCGCCACCAGTGGGGCCAATACCAGCTGCGCCAGCAGCTCCATCGTTGATCACTGCAGTCGCATCACCAACTCCAGCAGCAGGCGATAACAGAAAGCGGGGAAATGACGATCAGTTGGTCGAGCTACCGCGACCGTTGAAGATACAAAAGATCGAATCGATTGGCGCGCATGTTGAACCAACTACACACAGTCCTGGTCATTGGTCGGAACATAGCGATCGCGAGGAGGAGGAACTACCAAGGCATGTGACTAACTACAAAGATGCGCTTAAATTGTTGAAGCCCCTGGAAGAATTTGCAATGCTGGAGGAGAACTATCGTGTTATTGGCTTGATATCACAGCTCGAAGAAATATTCAAGCATCCACCTCAGAAGAATGATAATTGAAAATTCCAAAATAAAATGTATGTATCTATATATGGAGCCCTAACCGTCAAAAAGATGTAAGCGAATTTGATTTTTACAAAACTTTATTATTGATGCAAAAACGTTCCTTGAGCATCTAAATGCATTTCTGCATCAGAAGTAAAATTTTGACAAAAATGTCGCTTACATCTTTTTAACGATTAGGGCTCGATATATTTCGGAAGCTAGTGTAACTAATGTAAGAACATTTTCCTAACACGTGGTTTAATCGACGTTAACTTGTTTTAAAGTTAATGTTCGCCACAGTATGTGTAGTCTATGTAGTATGTACATGTATGGAAATATTAGAATCTAAGGACATATTGTCGCCATCACGGCAAAATGCGCTAAATAGGATTTTTCTTTGAAATATTTTTTTTATATTATTTTGTTAATTGGCTTTCAAATAAAAGCGCACCGCTAAATTCAAAGCGATATTTTAAATCATACAAACTTCCTAGAAAGGAGTCTTAATTTCTTATGTTTATTTAAAAAAAAAAGATTTCGCTGTAAAAGTTAAAAATTATCAGTTAGGTACTTTTGTAGTGATGAATATAAGTTGATTTGTATTATATGTATATTACATACATATGTATGTATGTGTAAGTGGGCCTATGTCGGCCCTTAAAACCAGCAAACAAATGTGTAATTAAACAAAATGAAATATTAAAATAGCTACTCTTAAGATTCGTTTTATAACATATCGCACAACCTCTTCAAAAGAGGCACAAATCAAAAAAGCATTCTGTAGATTTTTTTGCTAAATTAATTGACGGGATTAATTAATTCCAATTAATGGAAAATCTCTATCCCTATCTATTTATATTAATTGCGTTAAAACTGTACAACCCCCGAGCAATTATATTTTCGGATCTGATTTTTGAGTTGTGCCCGTTTTGAAGAGGGTGTGCGATATGTATATATGCAGTGTTCTTATTTTTGCATTAAATAATTTTATTCACATACATACATATATGTATGTATGCGGCATTTTGATAAAACAACTCAAATGCCTTTAGAAGGTTTGGCTTTGGGTTAAAAAAGTATAAGTTGCCCTACAAAAATTATACATTTTTTAAACTTATAGATATATTTTGGAAAAGCATCTTAAAGAGCACCTGCGGCTAGTTAGTCGTTGAAATAGTCGGCTCTATCGCGAATTTCACATGAAAAAATACTTCCAAAAATTATAAAGCAAAACAAAAACTAGTTTCCCCAATTTGTTTTTGTTTTGCATATTAAATTATGGGAAAGATTTATTCACATGGAATTGCCGATAGGACTGATTGTTTGAGAAGCCAATGATTATTTTTTTTTTTTAAGTAAAAAGGGTTTACCTCGAGATAAGTTGTTTTATCAAAATGCCACAAGAAAGGCAAAACACCACAGCAGGATATTTCGCAAAAGGATCCCTTAATATTCTTTAAAAAATTCAGTGCTAACTAGGATAAAAAGATGGTTATCAAATAAAAGAAAAAAATCTTTACAGGCGGCATACACGGTGCGTCCGACTCACAATTCAACTGTGTACTGTTTCGACTACACGCAGTTGAGTCATCCAGAGTTATGTCGGTGTAACTAACACATATTTATTTTTACTACGCACCGCGTATGCCGCCTATTAGAATTTAAAAATATTGATTTTTTTTTTTATTCACAAGGAAGTATTGGTATTGAAAATACCCTTTTAATTATATTTATGTTTTTAGGCTATTAAAGTAGAAGGACGAAATTCGAGGATGTGGTCTTGTGTATATAATCCTTAACCTATAATTTTTCAAAAATAAATACGGCAAATTTATTTTATTTTATGTTTGTTGGCTAGTCTGATCTTTTGAGTTTTGGTGCGAATAAAACTACTTTATTCCACTTTTCACCCGACGTTTCGCTAAAACTTTTTTAGAATCCTCAGGGGTAGTGTTTATTTTATCTGTTACAACAAATATACAGAAATACAAAAAAAAACCCACACATTAAGTATTAACCGAAAAAACAAACAGTGGAATAAAGTGGTTTTATTCGCACCAAAACTCAAAAGATCTGACTAGCCTACAAACATAAAATAAAATAAATACCAACAATTTATTATTTTTCAATTCTACAGAATTTCATGTTTCATTTGGAGCCCATTTTTTAAATAAGTTTAGGAACTACTCATACAAGTACTTGAAATTTCAAAGTCCTTAAAAACATCCTGACGCCAGAGAGAAGAAATAAAAATGCAGTTGTTTTTTATATTTTGCTCCTAGTTTAGTGAGTATATTTTTTTTATGAAATTCTCGGTGTAATGACTGTTATTTTTTTGAGTGATTTATGGCACTTTCAAAATAAAAATCTTCGTTATACAGCTGATTAGCAAAACTGCTCGCGAACAAAACCTCAGTAGATAGTTATTTCGGTGAAATTTTGTTTTAAAAGAATAGCTACTGTTAAATTGTGATTAGTATTATACAAAACACGTTTTTAAGAGTACTTATCCCACTTTCAAAATAAACGGCTCACATAGCTAAATCCTCGCTTAAAATACAATCAAAAATTTACTGAACGCTTGCGTTTTTGTCCTCTCTCACAAAGTTTGTTTTCCTACGCCTAGCCTCAGAGCTAAAACTTCTCTCAGCAGCGTCGGGGGCGGGTTCTACCTTGTCGTCGTTGGCCATGTATATATGTAGACGAATATCAGCCAGAGTTTTCCTCCAGGTTGGATGCCGCAATGTATATATGTACATTAGGGTGATCCAAAAATTCATGTGAAAAAGTGAAGTCGGAATTTGTATACTCTCACCCCCTAAGATTGTTCTATACCGAAAAAAAATATACCCATATTTTTGTTAACTAGACAAACCAGAAATTGTCTTCTTTTTGCACGATAAGAAGTTAAAAACGCGATAGTAGTGTATTTTGTTTTTGTAAAATATGGACCATCTTTCAACTAACGTTTAGAAGTGCCTCAGACGTTGCTTCTTTGGGATAGACGAGAAAACGATCTTCTAAATGCTGGCAGGGTTTCTGATTTAATTTGTTTATTCATGGAGTTTTCATGCAAATTGCTAGAAGTTCTAAAATATACATGTCACCAATAAGAAAAATCTTGACGTGCTTGAAAAAACCAAAAATGTATTTTAAATCGCAGGCCTCAGTTATCTTCGCAGCGTCATCCAATACGGGTTTTAAATCTAGTGGCGGCATCTTCCTAGTCGCCAGAGAATACCGACGGATCATATAGTGCGCTGCACTGCATTGCAAATATCCGCACACTTGCGCCATTTCAAACCATTTTTCTGTCCAATTTTGTCGATATTTAGCTTTAAAAATTTCGTCGATGGTGGTGTAAGTCTCAAGTACTTCACTCATCAAAAGTTCTTCTTCGATTCGCATTGCGAATGGGTACCTCACTAACACGACAGGGAACATTAAGTCCCACTGCGTCGGTACTTTCGTCAAGTTGCAAACTAAAAAATTCACAGTGTGATTGTGAAGTTCCAAAGAATAAGTAACATATACATGTGCTCGAAGCTGCAGCGCTTGTTACGAGAACAGCCCAGCCAGCAAAAAAATCCGAAAATTAATCCGAAAACCGAAAGAAAAGTGGATGAAACGCGGATTAGGTCTAAAAAAAAAGTACCGAAAATGGTTGTGAAAAGTGAACGTTTTCGGCTATTTTTCTGAAAATTTTCTGATTCAATTTTTCGTTGCCAAAATGTACTACATAACCACACAAGCGGCTTGACAAACCAAGCGAAATAAGTATCCCATGGCTCAAAGCCATTTCTGTTGTGTATGGGGTTTGACGAGCCGCTGAAGGTAATTTTACTAAAAATCAAATGTTTTTTGATTTTCTGGCCGCCATGTTGAAGTTGGATCAAACCGCTTGCGTTGTGCATGGAAAGTTTAAAAAATTTGCCCACACAACTAGTATACATATGGACGTAGCCATTAGCGGCACCCCAGGCATACGCTTCCCACTTTGAGAAAGCCTGCTTTACGAGATTCAATTTGTGGTAGAACGCAATTTTTAACAAACGCTAGATTTTAGTTTATTTTCAAACAAAATTTAGCTAAGTAAAGCCTTCCCAGAAGTAGTTAACGAACGACTACTGACTAACCGGTTAAAGCAGTTTTCCATCTGGGTGCGTTCACGTCATATCTGTGTGCGCCTGTACTCTTCTCCTACCGTTTTGCGTGTGTGGTCGTTTCTCGTTTGAAATTCAGGATATTTTCGACCTACTAGTCTTCTACATAGTCCGCTTGTTAGCAAACTTTTCAACGTAATTTGATATACGAGTATTTTCTGTACATATTTCAGTAGGTAAATAGTACATAACAGCTAAGGCAATTCTTTGGTGGTGACTACCTAGCGTTTGGGTCTTCACTTATTTCATACTCGTTTCATGTTTTCGTTCCCTTCCGGCTTTAGTCCTGCCATACATTATTCATTTTGTACATACAAATGTACTTATGTATGTGTATATGCCCGTAGACGACGAACTTAAACCCTGAAATTCATGGAAAATGTTTCTGCAGCCATCAAAACCAAAGGTCTTTTTTATCGATTGGATAGTAGTAGTTCGTTGCTTGGTAGGTCGCTCGAAGGGTCTTTTGTCTGTCCACTGGTTCAGTCATCTTCTACGAGGGTGGAAAGTTGTCAGGTTAAATTACCGTTCATTTCTATAGCGACCGTACTCTTTGTACGCATGGATGTGTGTGTGTGTGTGAATGATTCGTTTTTTGTCCTAAGTTCGAAGCATCTATTTACTATATCAATTTGTATGCAGGTTTATGTCTTCAAACTTTATACACCGTAGATGGGTACATACTCGTACACACATATCTACGCACGTGTTTTTAACTTCAGATTTTCCGTTCTAATTTCATCAGCTTTACGTGTTTGATGTTAATCTCTCGAATGGCTCTTTTCCCTAATAGCGCAAATGAAGTTCTGTCACATTCGTAATTTCACAAGAAAATTGTGTAATAAATTGATTTTACTAGGTTGTTGTTTAGCATTAAATTTAAATAACGATGCAAAAATATCCTTCGGTAGCTGAGCTAGAAAAGTTTTCTCCATAAATGTGTAGAGTAGTCACAAAATAGGGATGTCCTTATATTGCTTCATCTCTTATTTGGCACTGCAACGCTTTGTCGGTTTGTTCGTTCCAGGTTCCGATATAGTACTGCTCTTTCCACTAAACGACGTTCTTTTATTTTTTTCCGCTTTCCATCAATGCGGTATTCGCTGTTGCTAGCAGAGGAAGGCTTCCGGTGCCATGGAAAGACTACATGGAGAAGGATTTGTCTTTACTTGGTAAGTATTTGAAATTGGGATCAGTATAACTTTTCATAGTAATTTGACATCAGTGAGCGAACAATAAACAACGCAGCCAAAACAACATGGCCGCAAATGGCTGCCAACATCAACTCGTCCCAATTCCCAGTTGGAAAATGGAATGTTTGGTAGCGTAGCAAGTAATGTATCGCCCTTATAGCCGATACATTACAAGATGCATCATTTTTTTACAAGCAGGGATAGCTGCTAACCCTTTGACTGGGTTAATACGCTGGCAGCTAGTATCTGGGAACTAAACAAAAAAATGCGAGCAGAAAACTGCACTCAGACTGCCGACTATCCATTCTATTGTTCTCATTTAATCTCTTTAAATCTACACAAATATTGTTGGGTGCTAAAGAGCTCAGCTGTTCGTCTCTCTACACATCGCTACCAAAAGCCTAATATCTTATACTTGCGAGGACGGG